TGTGTGTGTGCGCGCGTGTATAAAAGATAAAATAATTTCACACCAGTTTATTCAAATAATCTCCACATTCATTTAGCATCTATTACAGTGTTTTTTCACATTTTTGCTGTATCATTTTCACACTGTAGTCCTTCTAATGCCATTTCTCAAAGACAGCATTTACATAAGTATGATTGAGTGGCTTAGTACTTTAAAGGATCCTTCATTTCTTTTGTCTCTATTTTGTAGCCTTTGACAAATGGGCAGAACATCCTGCTAAGCCATGAGGACTAGAAACGTGCGGCCAGATACACGGTTCGTGATTTTGAAAGAACACAGGGAAACTCAGGCCCCCCGTCTCAACGCCTCTACCCATGAGCTATCCTGTACTTCGCAGGACTAGGGGACTGGCTTAAAATATTGCAAAGCCTATTCCCACCCCCCACTAGAACGTCTGCAGCCTCCATGACAAAACTTTAAATTTACTGAGCAAAACAGCCGGCCCAAGAGCTCTTTAGCAGTTAAAACACACCGGGTCTGTGCTGAGTGATCTTACACAAATAGATGAATCTGCCTTATGCTGAATCAGGCTACTGGCCCGTCAAAGTCAGTGTTGAGCCAGTTTGGTGTCGTGGTTAGAAGCGCGAACTCTAATCTGGGAGAACCGGATTTGATCCCCCACTCCTCCGCATGCAGCTGCTGGCGTGACCTTGGGTCAGTCACAAGTTCTCTGAGAGCTATTCTCTCACAAGCAGTCCTTGACAGAGCTCTCTCAGCCCCACCTGCGAGGGCTGGGAAGGAGATTGTGCCACTCTGAAACTCCTTTGGGTAGTGAAGGCTGGGGTATAAATCCAATCTCCTCGTCTTTTGTTGTCCATTCAGACTCACAGCAGCGCTTCAGGGTCTCAGGTGGAGGTCTTTCACATCATCTACCACTTGACCTTTTTAACTTGAGATGTCGGAGATTGAACCTGGGTCCTTCTGCGTGCCAAGAGAGGCTGTATCACTGAGCCGCAGCCCTTTCCTGTTCTTGTTCAGGAACATACAGAGGTCTTTGCTGGGTCAGCCCAAGGACTGCCAAGATCGGACATCAGATGCAGGAGGTTTGGGGATGTATCTAGTCCTGTTAAGAGAGACACTTCATGGGAGATGTAACAGGGGCTGTGAGTGGCTCATTGGGAAAGAATTCCAGAGGGGTTGCTGACCTGGATGGTCAAATCTTGGAAGCTAAGCAGGGTCAGCCCTGGTTAGTATTTGGATGGGAGACCACCAAGGAAGTCCAGGATCGTTGACAGGGAGCCACAGGCTACGGCAAACCACCTCGGAGTGTCTCTTGCCTTGAAAACCCTACAGGGTTGTCATAAGTCAGCTGTGGCTTGACGGGGGGGGGAGCTGTGCGACAGCGGCCTAGGATCCAGGTGAGCTGGGTTCACACTCTGCCCTGAAGCTCACTGAGAGACATGGGAAATCAGGCTAAGCCCACCCTACCTCACAGGGTTGTTGTGAAGGTAAAATGGAGGAAAGAAAGGATGTGTGCTGACCATACCTCAGTAGAGGAACAGCGGGGTAAAAACGTTCATCAACAAATGGCTCTGTTAATTTGTCACAGCCAGTCTTGTGTAGTGGTTAAGACTGAATGTAGGGCTAGGATCTGCAAAACCAGAGTTTGAATCCCGATTCTGCCTTGGAAGCTCACTGGGTGACCTTGGGCCAGTCACATGTTCTCAGCCTAGCCTACCTCACAGGGCCGTTGCGAGGATAAAATGGAGGTTCGTGGTGCAGGGTTGTCACGAACCATGAACCTCCCAACAAATTCCTCCGTTGCATGAACCGGTTTGTGGAGTCTGGCCCACCCAGAAGTGAGCTCTGAAGGCAGTCCAGTGCCTTTGGGGCCCACCTCCAGGTTGGGCTGGCCCAGCTGAGCCCTGAAGGCTTTCCTAGGCCTTTGAAGCCTACTTCTGGGTGGGATGGGCTCCAAAGGCCTAGGAAAGCCTTCAGAGCTGGGTGCTCAGTTGAGTTGGGCCGCCTAGAGCAAGCCCCGAAGGCCTAGAACAGAGCTTAGTCGGGACGACTGGTCCCAGAAGTAAGCTCCAAAGGCATTTAAATGCCTTTGAAGCTCACTTGGGTCAGGCCATGGACCCAGTGGTGGACTGATGGTATTTAAATGCCTTTGGAGCCCGCACGAACCCTAACCCTGAACCTCACAAAACCCCATGGAGGTTCGTGGGTGAAATGTTCTCTTGAACCCCTGGTTCGTGCTCGAGCTGGAATTCATTTGTGAGTTCGTGCCCATCCCTAATGTACACTCCTCCTTTGGGAGAACGGTGGAATATATATCTAGTAAAATAATTTTTTAAAATGCTAACCGAAATCTTGTGGCCCCTTAAAAACTAAAAATTTCACTAGTGTAAACTCGGGCTGCTGCAGCCCACTTGGGCAGAGGCATGCTGGGGGCCTCCGGGTGGTTGAGATAGACAATGGAGAAAATTAGGAACAGGAGGCTGAAGGGGCCATGGAATGCAAGAAGTACAGGGTGAAGTGGAACGACACAAAATCCAAATGCTGCGAGAAGTTCAGCAATGGTAGTGATGGGTGTCAACAGAGCCACGGAAATGAGTCAAGCTGGTTCGTAGCTGTAATGGCGGAGGAATTCCAAGTCCTCCGGAGACAACATCAAGCTTCTGAATGAATTCTCATTCAGCAGTTTCACGATGGACTTCCCCTTTGAAATTCCTTTGTGCTGGGAGATTTTTTTTTTTAGATTCACAGCTGAGAGCCCTTGAGGACTAAGATGTTCTCTTCCTCCCCCACCTTTCAAACACTGAGATATTTTGTGTTGGGGGAGGAGTGTACAGGACTATAAATGAAAAGTGTAACCCCCCCCCCCATCAAGTCTCTGATGGGAGAGCAGTTTTTGCATGTAACTTTGTCCCACAGAAACAGATTTATTAAAACCAGTTTGCTTCCAGGAGCCAAATGCTAGTTACGGACATAGTCTTAATACCACCTTCTCTGAACAGGGACTGAACACACATGAAGCTGCTTTCCACTGAGTCAGACCCTCGGCCCATCACAGTCAGTCTTGCCTACTCAGACTGGCAGCCGCTCCCCAGGGTCTCGGGCAGAGAGGTCTGTCCCATCACCTACAGCCTGCTCCTTACTGGAGACGCCAGGGATTGGACCGGGGACCTTCTGCATGCCAGGCATCACGGACTCTCAACTGCAGGAATTGGAATCCCTGGGCAGCCAGCGATGGAAATGAGCCCATGGGCCGCTTGCAAATACACGAAAACTTCTGACAGCCGCAAAAGCCCACTTCCGATGGGTGAGAAAATGCCCCCTTGTTAACAAGCCCGGTGGCAGTTTTTAGAATATAAGCTCTTAGTGGAAGGTATCACTCCGTATGAGCAAGCTCTGTCAGAAGCCTGTCATGACTTCAATCACCTTGCCTTCACATTCGGGTACAGGCGTGACTGTTCTGTCAATGTGACTCCGCCAAAAAAGTGACTTCCGCAGCGAAGGGAGGAGAAAAAGTGATGGAAAGCGTGTTCTCGTGTTGCCCTGTGTGGGGGAAGCGGGCGGCGTGCCTCGCTTTGAGGCTGCACACGAACAGGAAGGCTGAGCCCTGCAGACCACTTCGACCTTTTTGAGCCTGGGGCACACTGGGAATTCTGAGAGCGGGAGATGAACACCACCCCAAAATGGCTTCTGTAGGTGGTTTAAGCCAAGCTCAAAACCGCTTCTCAGGAGGCAGAACCTAACAGAATACCTCCTTCCTCGTGCCTCTGGGGGGAGACGGAAAGCCTGGAGGAGCGGAACCACACAACTGCTAAGGAACGGCCAGGGGCTTAGCAGTCCTCCAGCGGAAACCCCCTCCCTTTGAATCAGGGCAGCCAATGGCAAGTCTTGTTTTATGATGGCCCCAACGACTTCCTGTAAAGCTCAGCAGGCAGCAAGGGGGGGTATAGGTGGGTGCCATGGTTGGGGAACCCTGCTATAAAGGCGGCTACGTGTGTCCATCGCCAGAGAAGAGGCCTGATCCCGCGGGAGCAGAGAGTCAAGTGTCCTTTTGGCGCCAGGAACCTTGTATTGACACAAGAGGCTCCTGAATCAGCAGAAGAGTCCTCGCGCCAGAGGCAATAGTGCCAGCATTAGCCAAAGGTATCCCTCAGATCGAGTCTTCTGTTCCTGCGACTATATCCATGGGCAGATGCAGGGGTCATTTCCTGCGGGAGCGCACAGGAGCGGAGCTCCGGCAGTAAGGAGCCCAGGGGGTGGACACATGCAACAAGCCCCACCCCTTGCTCCCAGCAGCCCTCAGTTTGGCCATGAGGAGCAAGAAGCACCGCCAAGGTAATTGCCGGGCCCCCCCCCCCCCCAGCCTTCAGGTACGAGCCCTCCCCTCCTCTGTGAGGGCAGATCTGCACATTCGTCCCCCCAATAGCTAGCAATCCAAAACAATCCAGTGGAGCCTGAGCGGTGGGTGTTGCCTTCTGACACACTTCCGGTGATGCCAGGGGGTGTGGCATATGCAAATAAGTTATGCTAATAAGCTCCTGCACCTCTTTTTCTACGAGATGACCCCTGGGCAGATGGATGCACTTCCCATTCAGACCCCTGTGGCTAGAGAGGAGGGCCCTGTGTTTCTGGTCTGCTGCTATTCAAAGGTAGTGGTTAAGAGTGCGGACTCTAATCGGGGAGAGCTGGGTTTGATTCCCCACTCCTCCACATGCAGCTGCTAGTGTGACCTTGGGTCAGTCACAAGTTCTCTCAGAGCTGTTCTCTCAGCCCCACCTACCTCACAGGGCGTCTGTTGTGGGAAGGGGAGACTGTAAGCTGCTCTGATACTCAGGGTGGGGCAGAAATCCAAGCTCCTCCTCTTCTTCCTCAGTCCCTCTTTCCCACATCCCTTGAAGGAGGAGCACAAAGACTACACAGCCAAGCCTGAAAATTCCTCATTCTGCAGAGGCTGGTTATGTTTTATTAATCCCCCCCCCCTCGTTTGTATTTTTAATTTCACTTGTGAAAAGGAGAGAAAAAAACAAAGCCGGCAAGCAAAAACCTTCCACCCACTGCCTGGCCCAGCGGGGTACCTGACGTTCTTTAAATAAGGGGAGGGGGAGGTGAAGAGACGGAGGGGGTCGAGCGGGGCGGTGCAGCAGGCGGCTGGGCAGGGGACGGGAGGGAGGGGGGGAGGGGACACACGGCTTCCTGGTGCTCAAGAGTCAACAGTACGGGCGTTCTCGGGAGCCAGGGCCCGGCCATAGGGGACGGACAGACTGCAGTTCTGGTCAAGGAAGGGCTTGCGAGGGGCCCTGCTGTGCCTGCGAGGGGCAGGAAGTTCTTTGGGGGGGGCGGGGGGCCATGTGACAAGTCGGCCAAGGTCCCAGGAGTGCTGCGGAGGGCGCCTTAAGAAGTGTGGAGAAGGGGCGGAGGTCACCCAGTTGTCTGATATACATTCATCCGCTCCGGAATGCAAGGGCCGGGAAGGCGCCATCCCTCCCTTCCCACAGGACCTCCCTGGCTCAGACTTGCGCTGTGGCGACCCACGCCTCCCACGGAGACTGCGCTCGGGGCAGGAATCTGTGCTAGCCAGGGGCCACGGCACCCCGCTCCCCCCCCCCGCTACAGACAAGCACAAAGTCCATCTTTGATGAGGATGGGAAGGGGGGGGTGGAGGAAGAAGGGATGGAACCAGGTACCCTGAGAGGAACGTTTCGGGAACAGCAGAGATGCGAGACGAAGGACGAGCGAAGCAGACCTCGAAAAAGGGCAAGGAGGGAAGGGGGAGCTCAAGAGGGAAGATGCCTGATCCCCGTTAACGGACGAGAGGGGGGGGATGCGGTGACTTCACGCGGGAGACGAATGTGAAGACGTCCACGGACTGAGCCACAGGGCCTTCCCCAGTGGGCCTGGAGGGAGGCAAACATGGAAACACGCCCCCCCCGGGTCCTTCGCTACCGCTGCCCATGGCCACCGGCCAACTGCTAATGGAGGGGGGGGGGAAGGGGAGCGGACAGAAACCCCGTCCCGTCCACAGCACAGCCATGGAGACCGGCAGGGCAGCAGACAACGGGTGACTGGAGGGAAACCTACGGACGCTCCGCCCCGGAGCAAATAAAAAAAAAAAATCCGGACAGGAGGAGGACTGGACGGTGGGGGGAAGTCGAGAAGGACAGAAAGGGAGCGAGTGAAGACAGAAGAACCGACCGTCGCCCCGGCCTTACCGATAGTGGGGTACGGCAGACAAGGACAAAATCCTCTCCCCCCCCAAAAAAACCCTGCGGGGAAGTTTTCGTACTGTACAGAGCCCGTGCCCCCCCACCCCACCCCCAGAGTTAAATGACAAAAAACAAAACCCAAAGAACAGGCTGAGGACGCTCAACGGCGCTCGGAGCAGCTGAGCTGGAAGGGGAGGGAGGCCCCGTCCCCCTCCGCCGAGGTATCATCCGGGAAAGCCCCCTTCGGAGGAGAAGAAAAAGCAGGGGAGGGGAGACCAGACAGTAGTCGGGGAGGGGCAGGCTCCCTTCTCCCCAGCCTGCCCCAGGCCCCCGCCCCCCCCAATCGTATGTCCCTCCTCCTCCTCAGCAGCAGCCACCGCCTCCTTGTTTGACCGGAGTGCTGTCGATTTTCAGGTTGGGTCTGTCTCCGCCGGCCGTCGCTCCGGGGCCCATGCGCTTCTTGATCTCGGCCGCCATGGTCATGAACGACTGCTCCACGTTGGTGGCGTTCTTGGCGCTGGTCTCCAGGAAGGGGATCCCGAGGGAGTCCGCGAATTCCTGCCCGAGACGGGGGGGGGGGGGGGAACAGTGGTGTGGTTAGGACAGGGAACACAGCGAGGGGCCCTGAAACCAGCCAAGAGCTCAGAAATGGTCAACCTGAGGGAATGCTTCTAGACCTCATGGTTGCAATAGGATTTCAAAAGCCTGACGGACAGAAACCGGAGCTATTTTCAGAGGGTAGCTGTGTTAGTCTGCAGTAGAAGCCGCAAGACTGGGGCATGACCTTTTGTCAAAGCTCCCTTCGCCAGCTCTGACTCTCAGAAGCGGATACCCCAAAAACCTTGTTGGGTCTCCAAGGTGCTTCTGCACTCGAATGGTGCTGGAGCAGGTTTCCTGAGAAGTGCTATTGGGTGGTCTATTGGGCCACCCTTCTCCACACGTTTGTCCACCTCCTCCAAGAACTCTAAAAGGTTAGTGAGGCAAGATCTTTCCTTACTATAAACCTTTGCTGCTATATCTATCAGGCTTATTGGTCTGTAGTTCCGTGGGTTTTGTCCCCTTTCTTATGAATGGGAACAATGATGCTTTGCTTCCAACCAGAGGGAATTAAACCTGTGCCATTAATTTGTGTAAAAACCGTAGCTAGCACAGGTGGCCACCATATGGGAAAAGCTTTATAAAAATCTGACGGGATCAAGTCTTCCCCCAGGTGATTTTCCTGAAGCCAATGAGTTAATTATACCTTTGATCTCCCTCTCCGAAACTGGGGCCCATTCAGGGAGGTCTGGGGTACCTAAGATGGATCTCTGGAGATCTTTCCTTACAGAACCCATGCTGATTCTTCCTCCATAGCTTTTGTTCATCAATGTGCCTACTAATTCTGCCTTTAATAACGGATTCTACCAACGTACTTGGTAGCATCATTAGACTGATTGGCCTGAAATTTCCCAAAACTCCTCTTTTTAAAGAGTGTTGGACTGGATGGGCCACTGGCCTGATCCAACATTGGCTTCTCTTAAGTTGTTATGGTCACTGTTCCCAACTGGTGTTATCACATTTATATCTCTCAACAGGTCTTGAGCATTACTTAGGACCAAGTCCAGGATCGCCTCTCCCCTGGTAGGTTCAGTGACCATTTGCTCTGTGGCACAGTCATTGAGAGTATCTAGAAACTCAGTCTCTTTCTCCTGACTTGAACGCATATTGACCCCAATCAATGTGTGGGTAGTTAAAATCACCTATTACAACACAATGATTTCATCTAGCTGCTTTCCTTAATTCCTTTGCTGTTTTTAAATCATCCTCTAGCCTTTGATCTGGTGGGTGATAACCAACTCCGAGAGTTAAGCTTCCTTTTGGGCACACTATTTCCACCCACAGCGTTTCTGTAAGTGAATCTATTTCTCTTACATTCTCAATCTAACTGGACTGTATACCCTCTCTGACATACAGAACCACTCCACCTCTGACGCCTCCCTTCCTATCCTTCCAATATAATTTATATCCATGAATCATTGTATCCCACTGATTATCCTCATCCTACCAAGTTTCTGAAATGCCCACAGTGTCTATGTTCTCCTCTGACACTAAGCATTCCAGCTCCCCCATTTTACCTCAGACACTTCTATAGCATTTGCGTATAGACATCTATAGTTTCCCAGACATTAGGCCGGCAACCTTCCTCCCGTGGCCTCTAGACCAGGGGTGTCAAACATGTGGCCCAGGGGCCGGATCAGGCCCCCGGAGGGCTTCCATCAGGCCCGCTGTGGAACTGGCCATCTCCTGCTTCCAGTTCTGCTGCTGCATCATAGCTTGCTTCACCAGACTCTCTCAATCGTTCAGACATTTCATGTTTTAACCTGGGTCCTAGACTCAGAACTGTGAGCATGAGATTTCTGTGGTGAATGTCAATAAATCAAAAGTAGGTTTGCAGCTTACAGAGCTAATGTTTGAAGCATGTTTTTATTTTAAGTAAAAAAAAACACCTTTGTGTTTGTGTTCTTTATAAAGTTTCTCCCTCCGCTACCTGGCATTACGTTTTATGACACACATGGCCTGGCCCAACAAGGTCTTATTTATGTCAGATCTGGCCCTCATAACAAATGAGTTCGACACCCCTGCTCTAGACCTTGCCAGGCAGTCAATATTGTGGCCAGCCCTCATCCATTTCCCTCTAGAACTGAAACAGCTTCCCCTTCATCTTTTTTGAGATGAGGCATCCCAAACCAGAGATATTTAATCTCCTTTTGCCTTTCCCCCAAGATTTAGTCTAAAAACCACTCTGCCATCTTTTTGATTTTAAGCACCAGCAGGACAAGTGGAGACTATTCTCTTTTGTACAGATCCTTGCTTGTTCCAAAAAGCAACCCAGTACCTAATAAACTTGAACCTTTCCTCCCTACACCATCATCTCATCCATGCATTGGGACTCCTAATTTGTGCCTGCCTAGCTGGCCCTGCGCGTGGAACAGGCAGCTCTTTTGAGAAGGCTACCTTGGAGGTCTTGGCCTTGAATCTCCTGCCTAGCAGCCTAATTTTTTCTTCCAGGACCACACAACTACACTTCCTCACATAATCAGTGCCAACATGTACCATGACCAATGGCTCCTTCCTAGCACTGTCTACCAGCCTATCTAGATCACACATAATATCGCACCAGGCAGGCAACGGTACGTGGGTTCACCACCCATTTATCTACATATCTAAGGATCGAATCACCAACTTGGAGACAGTGATCCATGCAATGGTCACCTCGAGACTGGACTACTGTAATGCTGTCTACATGGGGCTGCCCTTGTCTCAAATCCAGAAGCTGCAGCTGGTGCAAAATGCCGCGGCCAGGCTGTTGACAGGATATAGAGCTCGGAAGCACATCCAGCCAGTCCTAAAGGCATTACACTGGCTGCCAACACCATACCGAATTCGTTTCAAGGCGCTGGTTTTGACATTTAAAGCCCTTTATGGTCTGGGGCCTGCATACCTGAAGGACCGCCTTTCCCCATATACCCCCCCCCCAAGAGAGCACTGCGTTCAGGGGCCCAGAACCAGCTGGCTCTCCTGAGCTGTAAGGAGGCCTGGCTGGTGACAACCGGGGCCAGGGCTTTCTCAGTGGCAGCTCCGCTCTGGTGGAATGAGCTTCCAGTAGAGATCAGGGCCTGTAAAACGGAGCTCTTCCACCAGGCCTTTGGAGCCACCACCACTGCTAAATATCATCAATAGCGAACAGCAGTAGAACAGAGAGCCCCGTGCCCCTGGAATTTTAACAACGGTGCCAGTGCCAATCACTTCTACACTACCCGAAGGAGATCTGAGAGCCGATCATCTGGAGAGAGAACTGAATACGGCTGCCATCGTTAAAGCAACAACCACCACCAAGGACAATAATGCTAGCACGTTATGCCATCCATTGGGTGTAGTGCTATTTTAATGTGTTTTAATCGTTTTATTGTAATTTATGTATTGTTTATGCAAGCCGCCCTGAGCTGGCCCCGGCTGGGAGGGCGGGGTACAAATCTGACTGAATGAATAAATAAACAAACTACCAAGAGCCCCCCTCCCTCCCTGCCCAGGGATGGTTCCTTGGTGTGAAAGGATACCTGTTCACCCACTGTAGAAGGGGTCCCTTTTGAGGGAACATTCCCCCTTTTCATCGGCACGGTGCCCTGTTTACCCTTGACCCCCATGCTCCCTGACAGCTGGTGGGGCTGCCATTCTCAGGGTGGGACACAGGTCCCTGAGAGTTTTATCCAGGTACGTAACTGTCTTTGCTTCTCCAGGTCAGCCACCTTGGCCTGGAGGGTACAAACTCATTTCCTGAGAACCAGGAACTCCTTGCACCGAGCGCATGCCTGTGACTTCTGTCCAGTTGGCAGATAGTGATACATGTTACACTCGGTGCAATACGCTGGGTAGCCCCCAACCCCTCCTGCGGGCATTCTACCTTCATAATTGCCTTTTTATTATTTGTGTTTTTAGCCTTCTTTTAAAAGAAAAATTCCTGTTTATGTAGATTTGTTTGTGGAAAATGTGCTCACAATTTTAGGGTCATGGAGAGACTAGTGCCCTGGCTTCCTCACTCTGCTGAACTCGCATATCTGCTAAACTCGCCTGTTTATTCCCTCGTTCCAGACTCTGTGTCACTGGAGCAGGGCCTGCTACCTCGCAAAGCTGGGCGTGGTCGTAGGAACCCTACGTGAATAGCTTGGGGCAAAGGTCCACCCCCCTCCCCGTTGGAGCCAATCACAATGCTTGGGAACTAACCAATGAAGGAGGAGGATGAGTGACTCAGCCTCTGGTTGATTAACAATAGCTTTTGCTGAAAGGGAGCTGCTCACTCAGACCTCCTCTCTTTCTCAGATTGCCTATTACTTTGAATGCTAATTTAGTTTCAAATGTTAATTTAGCCCTTCTAGGCCTAGATTGGAGCTGCGGTGGCTTAAGTGGTTAAGACACTGAACTGCAGGCTGTGGAAGGTCAGTAGTTCAGCAGTTCGAGACCTGAGTGTGCCACATGACGGAGTGAGCTCCGTCTCTAGTTCCAGCTCCTGCCAACCTAGCAGTTCGAAAGCAAGAAATAGCAAGTAGATAAATAGGTACCACTTCAGTGCGAAGGTAACAGCGTTCCGTGTGCCTTGGTGTTTAGTCATGCCAGCCACATGACCACGGAAATGTCTTTGGACAGTGCTGGCTCTTTGGCTTTGAAACGGAGATGAGCACCGCAACCCTAGAGTCGGATTCGACTGGCTTTCGAGCAAGGGAACCTTTACCTTTAGGCCTAGATTAAAGGGGAGTCTAGCCAAATAGCCTCAGCAGTTACAGAGGTGCGTAACTGCTTGTTTTCTTGTAGGGGAAAGAAACACTCCTCCTTTAAAGAATGTGAGAATTAGCTTAAAATTTTAGATTTAGTTTAATATTGGACCCCCTGTTTTGTTTTTAAGCCCCAGCTATATTTAAACCCTAGATGCGGTTTCTTTTGTTGTTTGCTTTCCTTTTTCAAAAAGCTGCCTAAGGTTTAGCTTTATCTGTGAACTCACTATCCCTAATATCTCTGGTATTACTACTTTAATCTATAGGCGTAGTAAAGGTCCAAAGTGATATTAGAGCTTAAGATAGCCTTGTACCTTCAGTTTTAATCCTTGTCCTTTGTTTGATCCTCTGTTTAACCCTTCCTGTACTGCAGTAAAACTAGCCAAGGACCTCTGAGCCTGTTTAGAACTAAAATTAGCTACACGCAGGTGGTTTGAGCAGCTACAACACCGAGAAGTTAAATAATACTGTTAGGTTCCAACATTATGTAACTATTTGCCCTCCTTACTATTGGAACAGAACTAAAATTAGCTATACCTGAAGTTACAAAATGTTGGTACCTAAAGATATTTTTAACTATTTGCCCTCCTTACTCTTTAGGCAGCCCCACCCCTGTATACTATGTGGCCTGAGTTAGGGAAAAATGTATTTGAAATTACCTGTAAACCGCTCAGAGACCCTTCGGGGTCAGAGCGGTAAATAAACCGAATGTATAAATAAATAAATAAACAAACAAACCCTTTTCACTTAGGCTAAACTCGGCCTGTTTATTCCCTTGTTCCAGACACTTTGTCACTGGAGCTGAGGCACTTCATCACTGGAGCGGGGCCTGCTACCTTGCAGAAGTCAGAGCCTGCTTATTCTTTTCATCAGTTTGAACTTTTTGTTTATTTTTTGATGAGTATTTGTGTATATGCACGTGTGTGTGTACGGAAGTCATGGTTGACTCCTGGCGAAACCTAGTGGGGCTTGGCCATTTCAGAGAGGTGGTTTGCTATTGCCTGATTGGGCTTGACTGGGCTATCAGTTTACACTTTTTGATTGTTTTGAAAGCGTGTGCTTAGAAAGGGCCCAATGTTGAAAGGCAGGATATGCATTCCCTAAATAAATACAACTGTCGCATCTGTGACTTCAAGGAACGCAACACTTCCATCTAGGAAAAAAGGGGGCCAGCTCCATACTTTTAAACCACCCCATGGCTGGGAGGTGGATCCGAAGGCACTGTATTCTTGGTGCTGGGGGGGCAACAGTGGGAAGGCTCCTAGTGTCCTGGCCCCACTGCTGGACCTCCTGGTGGCACCTGGTATTTTTGGCCACTGTGTGACCCAGAGTGTTGGACTGCATGGGCCATTGGCCTGATCCAGCATTGGCATCTCTTATGTTCTTATCTTAACGCCCACAGAGCTGGGGAATCAATCTGAGAACAGAGAATAACCCAGACAGGAGGCTGCCTTGGAATCCCCAAGAATAAGCTCCGCTGAAGGAGGGGAGGAGAAAAAGCCCTGACCTGGGTGGCCCAGGCTAGCCCAACCTTGTCAGACCTCGGAAGCTAAGCAGGATCAGCCCTGGTTGGTACTTGGATGGGAGACCACCAAACGAAATCCAGGGTTGCTATGCAGAGGCAGGCAATGGCAGACTACCTCTGGACCTCTCTCGCCTTGAAAACCATACGGGGTTGCCGCGAGTCGGCTGTGACTTCACGGCATTTCCCACCACTATCCGCCAGAAGACCAAAACCACCCTCTGGAGGTATCTGAAAGGCTGAGACGGGGTGGGTGCGGATTGCTGCCCCTGAAATAAACCCCGGACCCCAGCCTCCGCACCTTGGCAGTCGTGTAGTCCACCACCTTCTTCGTGGTCAAGTCGCACTTGTTGCCCACCAGGAGCTTGTTGACATTCTCGCTGGCGTAGCGCTCGATCTCCTGCAGCCACTGCTTCACGTTATTATAGGATTCCTGCACGGGTTGAGCACAGAAGGGAGCAGGATGAGACCCAGGAGCAACCCTGACTAGCCGCCGCCCCTTTCTGTGGTGCACAGTTCCCGAAGGAGGAGCGAGACCAGCCAAGGAGGGCGACCGGACACAGAGAGCTGCATGTTTTACAAGTCCCTGCTCCAATATTTTTGGAGCTTAAACTATTTATAACTCTGCCGTTACGGGATGGGATTAAGTCGGAATCTACATACTGCTTCCCTTGCAAGGGGCGTACCTGTGTGGCCTGGCACGATGGGATGATTGGCTAACAAACGGGAAACCCCAAGAAAGGGGGAGAATTTCATTTGGATACGTACACAACGGCCACCCTAGCAATATTTTAAGAAGGAATCAGGAGGGCTGGAGATCTCAAGCCATTTTGGCCAAGTCACAGAAAGGCCAATGTCGACTTAGAGGGAGCCTGACCGGCCAAGTGAAGGGATCGGCAGCCCAGTGGAATTCCGTGAAGTTGATGCCAGGTGCAAAGCGGAGAGTCCTGAGAATTTCTGCATGAAGCGCATCACGAGCACCCGTCATTATGGGCATCTGCAAAAGGCACCAGGAAACAGACACTCTCCACCCCTTTCCACGCCTGAAGTTGCGACTCTGTTAATCAGAATGGGGGGGGGGGTCCCTCTCCAGCAAGAGTCGATTGGCATTAACTCCTTTGCCCCCCCCCCACTATCACAGGCCATGCTGTGTTTGCCCTCTTCATGCCTCACGAATGAATCTGTAGATTAATCCAAATGGCCATTAGAGCAGACCGAGCCCTGTGAGGAAAGGCTGAGGAACTTGGGGATGTCCAGTCTGGAGAAGGGGAGGCTGTGTGTGTGTGGGGGGGGGACATGACTTCTCTCTTGAAGTATCTGAAGGGCTGCCACTTAGAGGAGGGTGGGGAGCTGTTCCTGTCAGCAGCAGAGGACAGGACTCACAATAATGGGTTTAAATTAAGGGTGGAAAGATTACCGGCTGGATATTAGGAAAACCGTTTTGACAGTCAGAGTTGTGCCACAGTGGAATGGGCTGCCTAGGGAGGTGGTGAGCTCCCCCTCACTGGCCGTCTTGAAGCAGCGGCTGGACAGACACTTGTCAGGGATGCTCTAGACCAATCCTGCATGGAGCAGGGGGCGGGACTAGATGGCCCTCTGTGGCCCCTTCCAAGTCCATGATTCTGTTCTATGATAGGCAGGAGGGCAGATGATATAAGCGAAGAGAAACCTCTGGATTCAATGGCCTTTCAAAGTACAGCATGAGAAACAGCAGTTCAAGCTCAATATTCTGAACGTGAGCCATAGACCACATTCTGCGGAGACTGAGGAGGGGGCTGCTTTGTCCTCCCCACAAACCCTCTCCACGGCATCCAGTTAAGAGACGGAGCCACTTTCCACCACCACCCCCACCACTCCGGGAACTCCTCAGTCTTTCCTCACCCCGTTCCCCACTGTGCAGCTGTGGCTCTACCTGATCCGTCACGTCGTACACCACGATGATGCCATGCGCCCCTCTGTAGTAGCTGGAGGTGATGGTGCGGAACCGTTCCTGCCCGGCTGTATCCCACTGGAGAGGAAAGAGAGGATCGTTCAGCTCAGAACCACAAGGCTAAGTAAAGGTTTCCCTTCCTCGAAAGCCAGTCAAATCCGACTCTAGGGGGTGGTGCTCATCTCCATTTCCAAGCCGAAGAGCCAGCGCTGTCCAAAGAAGTTTTCCGTGGTCGGCATGACTAGACGCCGAGGCGCACGGAACGCTGTTACCTTCCCACTGAAGCAGTACATATTTGTCTACTTGCAATTTCTTGCTTTCGAACTGCTAGGTTGGCAGGAGCTGGGGCCAGAGACGGGAGCGCTCGAACTGGTCTCGAACTGCTGAACTACCGACCTTCCGATCTGCAGCTCAGCATCTCAACCTCTGAGCCACCGCGGCCCCATAAGGCTAGATACCTCAAATTGCATTATGCGCATGCGGACAGAGGTCTGTCTCCTTTAAATTTCTCTAGTGATTTAAGCACTAGGGGACAAATGGATCATCTCCTTCTCCCTCTCCCAGAATCAGTGACCAGCCCACAACAGAGCTAGGATTTTTGGGGGGAAGGAACCCGGGGGGGGGGGGGGGACGGACTGATGATCTCCCACATCTGATATTTCTTCTGAAACGTCTTCAGTGCTCTCATCAGGTTATCGTTGCCCACTGTCCACCAAATGCCCTATTTTACCTAAGAGGGACAACAATAAGCCATGCAGGAAAACCCAAAATGGAAGTGGAACGCCAAAGGTGCACCCAAACAGCCAGAGCACCATACCTGGATAAAGCAGCCCGGCCAAAAGCAAAGGCACACAACTACGAACAAGTGGTTGCAACATTAACACATACTAAGTTTGCAGCTGCTGAGGCCGGGTGGGAGGTGCTGATCAGATAGCTCGATCAGACTGCATTCGTGAAGTGTTCCTGGGAAACTTTGCTCTGTCTCTGTTTTATGATGGTTTCAAGAACGCTTTAGTCAAAAAAGGGAGCTTAGGCATGTCGCAGCCAAGCAGCAGCTGAAGCCCCAAACCACCTCTGGCAATTCTCTGACTCATGAGAGCCATCTGGGTTCATTAATGAACTGAACTCCAGCAAAGTTAGTCCTTTGGATTTGTACAGCCACCAAGAAGGCCAGAAACACAAAAAGAAGAAGAAGAGATTGGATTTATACCCTGCCCTTCACTCAGAGTGCCAAAGCAGCTTACAATCTCCTTCCCTTCCTCTCCCCACAACAGACACCCTGTGAGGGAGGTGGGGCTGAGAGAACTCTTTCGAGGACTGCTCTTGAGTGAGCAGCTCAGAGAACTTGTGACTGACCCAAGGTCACACCGGCAGCTGCATGGGGAGGAGTGGGGAATCGAATCTGGCTCTCCAGATCAGTTCGCTGCTCTTAATCACTACACAAAACTGGCCTCTCTTTTCCATCTCCAGACTTCTGGGTTATTTATCTATTTTATACCCCACCTTTCTCCCCAATGGGGACCCAAAGCAGCTTACATTTTTCTCCTCTCCTCCCGTTTTATCCTCACAACAACTCTGTGAGAGTGGGTGATGGCCCGAGCTTCCACAGCAGAGGGGGGGATCTGAACCTGGGACTCCCAGAGCCCACTCTGACATTCTAACACTACACTGGCTCTCCCAGTGTGATGATGAATTATGTAAAAGAAGAGATTGGATATATACCCCGCCCTTCACTACCCAAAGGAGTCTCAGAGCGGCTTACAAACTCCTTTCCCCTTCCCCTCCCCACAACAGGCACCCTGTGAGGTAAAAGAAGAAGAGATTGGATTTATACCCCACCCTTCACTACCCAAAGGAGTCTCAGAGCGGCTTACAAACTCCTTTCCCTTCCCACCCCACAACAGGCACCCTGTGAGGTAGGTGGGGCTGAGAGAGCTCTTTCGAGGACTGCTCTTGAGATAACAGCTCTTGTCAGGCTTGCCCAATGTCATCCAGCCAGGTGCAAGTGGAGGAGTGGGGAATCAAACCGGTTCTCCCAGATCAGAGTCCGCGCACTTAACCACTACACCAAAAAAATAAATTAATTAAAAAACCAATTTAAAAAAACCACTACACCAGACTGAAACATAAGCCCTCATCCTATTCTCTAGCCCACCTAAACCAGTAGTAACACTCAGACTTCAGTCAAGATGGGCAGCCGTGTTAGTCTGTCTGTAGCAGCGGAAAAGAGCAGGAGTCCAGTAGCACCTTGAAGGCTAACAACATTTGTGGCAGGGTAGGCGCTCTCGCAAGGCACCGCTCACTTCAAGCAGAACTCACACACAGAGCAAGTCGGTTGGCGGGAGACTCACAATTTGCAGTTTGATGGTTTTGCCGTCCAGCTCGATAGTGCGGATTTTGAAGTCCACCCCGATGGTGCTGATGTAGCTTTCTGTGTAGGTGTCATCCTGGGGAAAGAGTTCCATTCACAAGGTGGAGGCACATACAGGAGCCTTTGCTCTTTTCTCAAATAGGCAGGCACCCTCCCCTCCCAGTTTTCACATTTGCTCACAGGGACAAACAAACCCAGTAGGAGGAGCTGCGGCTCAGTGGCAGAGCATCTGTTCGGCATGCTGAAGGTCACAGGTTCAATCCCCTGGCATCTCCGGCTAAAGGGATTGGGTCGTAGGGGATGTGAAAGACCTCAGCCTGAGACCCTGGACAGCGGCTGTCAGTCTGAATAGACAATGCTGATTCTTCTTCCCCCCCCCCCTTGTTCTTTCTCCCCCCCCCCCCCGTAAATTTTATTCAATTTTCCATTTCCAACAACAAATAGAACAAACATGACCACCCTCTTATAGACCAATTTCAGTATTAAATGTTGACTGCAAAATATTCACTTCTATTTTAGCCAAAAGACTAAACACCTTTATAACTGAATACATTTCACAGGTCCAAGTGGGTTTTATGCCCAATCGCGATGTACTAGATAATACACATAAGGTTATCGACATAATAGATATTGCTAAACAGAACAAAGAACAAATGGTCCTGCTTTCTTTAGATATAGAAAAAGCGTTTGATACCTTAGAAATTTCGTTACCTACAAGAATCGTTATTGAAGATGGGTTTCGGCCAGGAATTTTTAACTGGCATTGATGCTATCTATAAATCGCCACAATTGTGTTTGAAAATAAACGGTATTTACTCTTCACCATTTAATCTCGAAAGAGGCACTAGACAAAGGTGTCCTCTTTTCCCACTACTCTTTGCAATGACAATGCAGATTCCTGATGGACCAAAACGTCTGATTCAGTGTAAGGAAGCTTCGTGTATTCAAGAGTGTAATTCAGACAACTCTGTTCTGTTTCTCTTCTTCATTTCAGTCACGGAATTTTGGGGCAGAAGGTTAGATTCCCCGGGACACCACACCACAGAGCGTGGGCAGGAAACTGCGTGGCCACAGAAAGCCCTGGGGGTGTGGAACTGCAAAGCCACGCTATGAACAAAGGGGCAGGATATTCACCAGAACCAGGATTTCCCTCACTGGGCAGTTCTAGAGACCTGGGCCCTCTCAGTTAAAACACAGGATGAGGCCCTAATGCATAGTTAGACCCGCCCGCAAGAACAAGACAACAACCGAAGATCCACTGCAAAAAGGGTGCCTGGTAGGGTAGTCACCACCCCTGTATGTCTGTGGCCCTAGGTTAAATTCTGTAAAATGTGATTAGCACTCTCTGTAAGCCGCCCAGAGACCCTTAGGGGTTAGGGCGGGACAGCAAATCGAATAAATAAATAAATAAATAAAATATCCTTTGGCCTGCATTAACTCCTCAGGGACTTGTTGGGTAGTGCCCCTTTCACACCTGAGCCTTCCAGCCACAGAGGCGGGGGTTCTGAACCTGAGACCCCTCTCTGGCCCACAAAACAGAGGCTCTTCCACTGAGTCACAGCCCTTCTGTGGATCCAGTCATGAACACCAAGCTTCTTCTACCAGGCTTTCCTAATTAGAAGAAGAGGAGATTGGATTTATACCCTGCCCTTCACTACCCGAAAGAGTCTTAGAGCAGCTCCCAATCTCCTTTCCCTCCCCACAACAGACACCCTGTGAGGTAGGTGGGGCTGAGAGAGCTCTTTGAGAGCTGCTCCTGAGAGAACAGCTCTGAAAGAACTTGTGACTGACCCAAGGTCACACCAGCAGCTGCATGTGGAGATGTGAAGGTCCGGGGGAGGGGGGAACTGGACAATTTGGGGGGGTTGTTTTTAGGACTCTCCCCCCCCCCCATTTTTCCAAAACTGGAGAATTAGGGGAGAACTGGAAAAGCCTCCTATGAAATATCTTCTCTTTTAGTAAGGCAAGGATTTTCACACTTAAAAATGCATAGCATGGAAAAAACAGTCAATTTTTCTCAGTAGATATACTGGGTAATTTAGGGGACCACTGAAAAACCTCATACAAAATACCTTCACTGGGGTGTGTGTGTGTGTGTGTGTGTGTGTGTGAGAAAAACCTTGTCTTACAAAGGATTTCACTCATTCCAAAGGTACAGCACGAAAAAAGCCTGAGGAAAAATTTGGAACTTGTGGAGAACACTGTGGGGAAAAAACTTACTTTAGACACACACAACATTTTCAAGAACTGTTTGTTGTTTAAATGTAAGTAATTTTGGCAATAATTAATATGCTATAATCATTAAACACATAATACATTGATAAAAAGAGTTCAGTGTTGTTTAGTTTAGTATTCAGACATGCTGGCAGTCCTACCTAGTGTGACTCTATGAGGGACTCTGTTTACTAAATAATTCATTTTCTACCTCCAACTTCCCCCCCCCCACCCCTCAGAGGGCAAACGTGGTAACACAAGGTATAGCAATTGGCAACTCTTTCTCAAGCACTGGGTAAATGTGCCATTTTTCGTCTAGCAACGATACTTCTACTTCTAAATTCCATAAACATGCCAAACAGCACAACTTTATACGCTAACTAAGTTATAAAGGATGCACGTATGTTGTTAAATCAGTGAAAGAAGTTTAGGTTTGAAAGGGAAGTAAACATTGCATGTATATTCCGATCTCCCCCCAAAGTTTTCATTTTTTTTCTGACAAAAACTGGAGGGGGTGGGGAAGAGGGGGGGTTTTCTCCCCAGGGGCTTCAAATTCTCTGGAAATTTCACATGTCTATTCCCTACCAGTGTGTAGTTCTGAGGAAAAGAGGGGTGGGCTGCCCAAGTGAGTGACAATATCACGACCACGCCGCACTGCATGGGTAGAAGGCAGAGCGGAGAGTCACGAGCTAGAAGGCTGCGCATTCGCTTTTATTTTTATTTTATTTATTTATTTTATTTAGGTATTTCTACCCTGCCCTACCCCGCAAGCGGGCTCAGGGCGGCTTACAGGGGCATAAGCCCAATATAAAATCATTAAAATCCAATAAAATCACAGAATACAATCAGTAATATACTATTAATAATAATAAAGTGCTTTAAGTTCTTTAAGTTCCAAGGTGGTCTGCAGTTGACTCTGCAGTTGGCTCCCACGAGAAATAACCCCTGCCAGCATTAGTTGTATCATACTGGCAGTATTAGTCCAAGCTAATCGGCTGGTCCTGCCGCCATGTAGTGCACCCTGCCGCCGGGCTATCAAGGGCGATCCAACTGAGATGGTATTTGGGAGAGGTACCAAGCCCGCAGGCTCTGTATTGTTGAGGGGTTGAACCCTGGCCCCTCCCTGTGTTCTCGGGCTGCAGCCCTCCAAGACCTCAAGCAGCCAAGTCTCTGACACTGACCTAGATGGAGCAAAGGGCCCGGAATAGGGTAAGGCAGCTTCATATAAGTTCCGAGTGCACTCCGTTCATGAAAGGTTATTGTGTGGCCATCAGTGTTCCCTTCCAAGCTGAGTGAGTGTGAGCTAGCTCACAGTTTTTTAGCCTCCGGCTCACACATTTTTGTCTTCGCTCAGGAAGGATGGCTCCAGAGCAAACTAATTTATGCCATAGCCAAATCGCTGGCTCACAACTTTAATGGCAGTCGCTCCCAAAGTAGAATTTTTGCTCACAAGACTCCACAGCTTAGAGGGGGCATTGGTGGCCGTGATGCTTGTTTTTCAGGAAAATCTGAACCTCAAATTTTCTGGAAACTGTCCTGGTTCATAGTTAAAGAACGTCAACAAAAATTTAAATAGTGTCAGCAAAGGAAGGCAAAAGCACCACATACAAGCCCTGGGGTTTGTCCTTGCTTTGTATCCCACGTTTAGTCCATCTGACTTTTTTTTTAAATTAAACTTTTTATTATGCTTTAACAGGAAAGTGCACAAATACATACAATATGAAGTAAACTTAACGTACAATACACGAATATTTGTGCACAAATCTTTTGTAGCTAGTAGTGCCATAAACTGAATTCTGTAAAAACTTTATAATAAAATAGTCTGATTGAATCAAATACTGCAGTCAACTTAGTCCATCTGACATGACTGACCGGCAGCACAATGGCCCTGACAACTGCAGAGTGTAACCTACATCACTGGAAGCGGCCCATGCCCCGGAATCCTCTGCAGTGCAAAATGGAGGTTCCTTGGGCAGACAAGTCAATGTAGAAAGGAATCCCTGAAGGAAAGTTTGAAATATTCTCAGCTATGCGAGGCCCTTTGAGTTTCCCACTCTGAGCAGAGAAAGGGAAAACACACACACACACACACACACACACACACACACACAGAGCTGCTTCGCACTGAACATTTTCGCACATGCGTGGCTTCCATGGCAAGGGATCAGAGATTCCAAGGGATTAGCCACAGGTCTTGTGCCCTTTCCTTTGGACTGCAATCCCCCAAAAACAGGCTTTAGAAAAATCATCGAGAGGCAGCTCAGATAGGCCTGGCAGGCAAGGCGATTCGGTTGGTCGGAGCACGATACTTACAGCAAACCGTAGCAAGAGGCAGGACTTCCCCACACCGGAGTCGCCAATCAGAAGCAGCTTGAACAGGTAGTCACTGGAAAAACAGAGGTGTCGTCAAGCAGCGGGAAACAGTCAGGCTACCTGGACCCACAAAGCATTTCTTTACCCCGTCACTTGGTCTACACATTAATGCTGGATGCTGCACTGGAATACTCCGGGGGAAGGGTCACCATTCCCCTCTAGAACACTCCAGTTCAAATATTCCAAGTCTCCCTACAGGGGCCACAAGCGATTCAGTCGCGCATCGGCGGGCTAGTCCTGATAAAAGACATTACATCAGTTGTGGTCTAGGGGGAATCTAGATTTCCGCTAAAACCGAAGCTCTCTTACAAAGCAGAAGAGAGCGAGAAGAGAGGCTAGCCTTAGGATCATAAGAAGTCTGAAGATGTGTCAATTATTATTCATGGAAGAACAGAGAGGACCACAAATCCTGCTCAGGCCCACCCACCAACACTTCGCCCGACAGCTTAATTGCCCTTACTGCCCTCTGCTGGCCAAGCCCATGCCCCCCCCCAACCCAAACGTATTTGCCATCCCAGAAACTGGAGCAATTCATAAGAAGAGAAGAAGAGAAGAAGAAGAGACTGGATTTATACCCCGCCCTTCACTACCCAAAGGTGTCTCAGAGCGGCTTACAAACTCCTCTCCCTTCCCCTCCCCACAACAGACACCTGGTGAGGTAGGTGGAGCTGAGAGAGCTCTTGACAGAAAGTGCTCTTGACAGAAACTGCACATAAGATGAGATCTGCATTTCACACATACACACAAACGGAATTTCAGAGCATAGATTTCTTTTGATACACCATTTAGACATTTTTGCTGAGGGTCAATCATGCCTTGAGGAGTATTTGAATCCTCCACTAGACCAAAAAGAGGTCATTAACTAGGAATCATGATGAACAGAAGACAGGACAGTTTGCAAGCCAAGATTATAACACCATGCTAGGCTATACAAATTTCAGCAGGCCGAGGGAGTCAGTTAATATGTGTTCACCAGACAGTCTTTGCTCTCCTGGGGTGGGGGAGATAGCAGCCCTTGGTTTACATTACCATGCTGTGCTTCGAAAGGCACTGGAAGGGGGGGGGGGTCTCCACCAATGCTCCCTCTAAGCTGTGAAGTCCTGTGAGCAAAAATTCTACTTTGTGAGCTACCGGCCTTAAAGTTCTGAGTGAGCGATTTGGCTGTTGCATAAATTAGTTTGCTTTGGAGCCATCCTTCCTGAGCGAAGACAGAAATATGTGAGACGGAGGCTACAAAACTGTAAGCTACCTCACACTAACTCAGCTTAGAGGGAACAGTGCTCACCACTACTGTGACAGATTCAGAAACACACCAAGTGCCTCCCAAGCCAGCATGACGGCAGGGAGCTAATCCTCTGCCTTCTCCTCCAGCTGTGAGCCAGAGAGGTCAGTTCACTCCTACCAGGCTGAACAGAAAGACCTTTGGAACACAGCAAGACATCTGGCTGCTTTAAAAGCATCTCTAATAGTCAGGGAGAGGGTCCAGCCTTCTCCATGCCCTACAGAG